TTTACAGACCGGAAACATAACTGGATTGTTAATATTCTTGCGGGCCTTTTTGGTTCTTTATACCCGGGGGCCTTTTGAATACTAATGGCCTGCTCGAATACCAACACGACACTTACATTTTTCTGAATTATATTTATTAATGTTAAGATTCAAACAAATACAATAAATAAACGGCGTAACTCTCAAATCAGTAAAATAACTCGTTATAAATTAAACTTTGCTTAATTGATATGAAAATTGCAATTTTGGACTCTTCCCGTGAATTTATAATTGCCACACAATATTTGTGTTTCTTAAGTAGCAGTACTACTAATAGTAATACGATGCGTAAGACACATCGGCTAATATGTTATTATTTATTGTTATAATGTTAAAATGTTATTATTTGAAGTTATGAAAGATTCTAAATAACTTTGGGCGATAGATGAAAATAATCTAAAAGTACCGTTTCAGCAGCGCAAGTCACATTATTTTCCATTTAACTCTCAAACACCCCATACTAATTTTTATATGTTTCTAGAGATTTTATTGAAAACCACTATCCAGAGCTTTGCTGGATTATGCGAGAATTTCCGCAATAACTTCACATAATTTTTCATTGTGTACGAACAGATCAGTCCAACAACGAGTATACAGTAGTAATTAGATACATAATGTTTTATTTATCTCACGTGATATTGACAAATGATTGCAATGCGTCTTCTCACTATAGAAGGAAATAAAGTTGTAATATGTTTCGAATTCTCGTTTGATTCAGCAACGAACTACTAAACCACAAAGTTTTGTGTGCACCGCGGGCGTTACTTATATGTGTGTGCCCCTCAGGCGACTTCCAACCCCTTGGGCCAGAGGCCTTCGAGTTTGATAGTCGCCCTCGGGGCAAAAACATCTACTGAACGCCCTTGACACATAAATAACTAGTATGTCCTAAGCATTTGTCTGAGTATTACGTAACTTCTTGTATTTCATCACTCAGGTGTAATAGAAAATAGGACAGTCAGGAAGCAATTTATTTTGCTCCTCGTTCTCATATGGCTCCACAGGTCTAGTGATTTCGTCTCTTCTTAGACCACACTATTGAATTGTACGTCAACATTTGCTGCTTGTAGAAAGTCACAGACGATGTTAGATACGGTGTCGGCTGGGATTGTTGTAAGTCGATTACAAACGATGCTTTCGTTTTATTGTATCGTGCAACAATAGTGCACTTGTGCAAAAGTTTTTGTCTCATTTCTCTCAAGGATATTTCGTCGTACCATGGTGTATATCTGTTTATGTCACAAATGAATTTCTTTCTTCTTTAGAAGCTACTTTGATTCTGGCATCTAAAATATTGTTCTCCCATACGTGTCTCGTATACTTACGTATAGATGTATCTGGTTTAGGGCGTTTAAATGCAAAATCTAGCCATGAAAACATTGCATGTAACAGTTAAACTAATAAAATTTTCACTATTCTGTTTCTTCAAACTGTCCATGCGAGTAATAAACAAACTTGCCGTCAGATTCTTTATAGCCCGATTTAGGTAATAAGGGCTTTTAGAAAATGGAAAAGGCAAAATATGTGAGATGACATTCTCGAATTCTTCTGCCTTCGAAACCCTTTGAGAAATTGTCCGTAAGATCCAAGCATAATCATTAATTCTTATTCACAGTTATTAATAATTCGTGGTCAAACATATTTATAAGTATTTATAGTAAGGGGAAGTAGCATTTATTGGATAGTAGGTATCCGATTCAAATTTGTGCAAATGGTTAACTCGACTTCAACACGTTTCACTGGGCGTGATTAATACATTAATTCTAATAGAATTGAAATATGAATTTATAAATATTATGGAAGGCAAAAACCTGGTCATATATGCACATTTTAACTGAAACGTTTGGAGCCGATTTTAAGAAAATGTCGTTCAAGCGTTTTGGAAAATTTCCATCTTGAAGCATTTTGAAGCACATTTTTACTCAAAACTTACGAGTTGTCAAGAAACTTATTAAGAGATCATTTCAAGCATATGTACTCTCAAATACACTAATGTAGTAATACACTAATGTGTAAGAAATTGTATTGTAAATATTAACAACGTGAGAAACATTCTTTTTTTTTAAAAATTTTAATGTATTCAAAATTACATTTGTGTATTTAAAAAAATAAAAGAATAAATCGAAGGAGCATTGTTGTCGTGTTATTCAGAGCATTTAGCAATATCCGTATCCAAAAAATAGAGAAAGAATTTGAGCCATTTTCTAGAAAATTGCTTTAAACGTTTCTGAAAACGCGAAATTTTGATCTCGCATTCAGAGAAAAGTTTAAGATTTTTGGACAAACGTTTATGATACATCATTTGAAGCTTCGAGGCTTCATAAATTCTTAGAAATTTAAACGAATTTTTTTCAAAATCACGGAGTTTTAAGACGGGCAAAATCGGCTTAGGAATGATCATGTTGGGAAAAATGCAAAAGTATTTTAGGCGTTAATATTCACTGATGGACATGCGGACGGACGGACGTTTCATTGTAAACCAATTTAACCGTATCAAGGACCGTATCAAAATTGGTTCGGCAGTAAAGCAATGAAATTGGCAACTCTAGTACCGCAGCAGATTTCTCCTTCACTAAGGTTACGTCACACTCGCTTCCAGACGACAATACAAGTTTGAACACCGATCGATTACATGATCCTTGAGAGCGTGAGAAATGAATATTCTATTGTTTTAGTGCGTAGCGAAAATGGATGCCATCAATAGCCGATGCAATTTCAACGAAAATGGGATATGCGCCATTTTATGCGTGTTTACGCTATTAGATCAAAGTATGATAAATATATTTGGAGCTATTTTTGAGAAAATGTTGAAATTTCTATTGAGGCTTCATGGAAGGCCCCCCAATAAAAACACAATGCAAAGTCCCCCCAATCACAAATTCGCAGAACCTCAATTTTTTTAAATCGATCGGGGAATACAAATTTTGAAAAAAATTGTCTGAACGATTTAGGCGTTAGTATTGTCCTCTTAGGGACAGACAGACGTTTTACCAATCGATTTTTCGGAATCAAGGCCCCATACTACACAACGTGTTAGAGGACGTAATTTACTGTAAAAGAGAACAAGATGTATTCATTCTTTCGTTACCAGGGCCCGACACTACTGTCGAAAAATCGCCGAGATCCGCCGCAACATAACAATACTTTATTTTAACTTCTCACATGTAGTAAGGTGGGAAAGGTAATAGGAATTCCAGTTTTTTGAGCTTCTCTACTCCAATCATTTTAGTCAACATTGACTTAGTTTCTTTAAGATCAAAATTCGTTTTAAATGGCATCATTTTTGGTTTTGTGTACTAGGGCTGTCGGAGGAGAAGCAGCCCCTCTTTGCTCCCAGAGCGGTCGGCTCGCGGAGGGGGCTATATAAACTAGGAACCCCAATATGCACTAAATGCAAGGTGAGGGAAAAAAGTTCGTACAACAAAAGCAAAAACTCTTCCTGTTTTACCAAATTAATTCCCACTTAATGACAAACAATTTAAAAACAATATTTGAAAAGTAACATTTGCCTTTTATAAGATAGGCAACTGCTTCTCGAATTCCCCTCTGAAAATGGCTTCATGTATGTCGTCATTTGGTACATAACTTTGTATCTTAGAGTATTGCATATTCTTTTGCGAAAATTCTTACTAAATTTAGTGGGAAACATTCAACTAATTGCATGAGCCACAACAAGCCTCAGTAGCTAAAAGCCTGAAGGGAATTATTAATTTACTAAAGGTAGTAATTAAATTTGTTGATAGTGTGTCCATAGTAAAACGTATAGAAAAATAAGTTACGATATTCCTTCCCTTAGCAATTAAAACAATGATAGGTATTTTTTATCTTTGTCAGCGAATTTGTCATATTCGGTGTCGTGACGCACCGTGTAATGTTGCAGTAAATTAAGTGTCTTGATATGATTGAGAACTTTCTGGCATACCCACCACAACCTTAAAAAAGTCAGTTTTTCCAATACATCATTAAAACTATTGAACAGTTTTTCCAAAATACTGTGTATTTACGAAGAGTTAAAGTAATTTTAAAGAAAGGAACAAGTTCAGGCAGCAGGAGATGTCAACTAATGTCACTGTAGTCCCTCTAACCGGGATGTCTTAGATTCGAGTCCCGACGGTAGCAGAATTTTGACGCTAGCTTGAAAGCTAGGTCGAGGTGAATCGTTGTCTGGAGGAGAGTTCTACCGGCCGGCTGCTCTGATCGGTAGTTTTTCGCGGTCTCTCCGATTACTACCAGACGAATAACAGGGCAGTGCCCTAACAAACGGACGACGGTCCGCGCGCGATCTGTCCCTCCTCTTCCTTGTCCGGGAGACCAGTCGGGAGCTTAGAGCTTGCTGAGGCGAAGCCCCTATTTGGTGAAAACGCCGCTAGCCGACGGTAGGTCAACACCAGATCTCGCCATCCATCGGGGGAGATCAACTCCACCTCCTGCGGGGAAATACTTCTCACTACTTACGGGGAAAATGACCTTAGCTGTTGACACGAACGGAATCACTAATCAATCGAAAAAAAATTCGGTTGCAGTACCTGGTACACACATGTTGCCACGACCTAGGGGCAGATATCACCTTGTGTGTGTGGACGGGAGGTACGAAAGGGTCTGTTCTTGTTCAGCAAGGAACAGAAGCGCCGCGGCTCGCAATTTGTGTTTATGCCGATTGTTATACTTGATTTTGATCTTGCCTCGGTGCGTCAAGCCGAATTGCGTCGTGTTGCGTCGCTTTCTTCGCTGAATTACTTGTAAGATAAAATTTGTAATTTTTCGAGCATTTAACTTCACTTTAAATACTAACATTACGTCGCCACATTATGGAGTGCCACAGCACTACCAAATGATGTTTTCACGAAGTCAATGGGGATATAGTATCAATCCTAGTTAATTTCCCTGATACCTAAGTGATACCGTCTCTGATTCTCAAGAACATTATTTCCGCCGTTCCTGTTTCGACAGCATAGCCAGAGATGCGGGGTGTCTGGTCGGAGGGCGAGGCGCGGGGTGCTGGGCGCGGGGGCGGGTCGCGAAGGCGCGTGGCGCGGTTCCAAGGGGCATGGGACCCAAGGCTCGGGGACCCACGGCACCGTGACAACAGAGCGCGTGGTACAGAGACGCAGGGCCGACGGGGCGGGGGCGCGGTACGGAGCGCGGGGATAAAGGGCGGCGGAGCGGGGCGCCGGGCGCGGTGTGCGTGGCGCTGCGCACATGGTGGCCGGGACGCGGTGAGGAGTGCGGGGCGTGGGGAGCGGGGCGAAGGGGCATGAGGTGGGGGGTAAAGCAGTGGGCGGGTAAAGCACAAGTGTGGGCGGGGCGAGAGGGTCGGTGCCGGGGTACAGAGGCGAGGATGCGCGGGTCGGCGATGTGGAACGAGGAGTGCGGTGGCGGGGCGTGGGCGGGGCGCGCCGCGTGGCGAGGGGGCGGCCGGGCGGGGGCGAGCGCGGCGCGCGTGCGAAGAGGCGCCGCGCCGGGAGCGCGGCGTCGCGCGCCAAAATCGAGTAGCGGCGGCTGGCGCATCGAAGACGCCACGGCCGACACTGCGGCGCGTCGAGGGCGTCGTTTAAAGGTTGGCGGGCGCGCGGCCCAAATCGGCCTCAATTACGTAATTTGGCTCGGGGCGGGCGCGCGCGCGAGCGCCGGCGCGGCCGTGGACGCCCATCCAAATGGACCTGATTAAGTCGAGAGGGCCGCGCCGCGGAGAGGACGACCGACGCGACGGGGCGCGTGGCAACGGGGAATCGTGGGATGGCGGCGAAGGAGAAGAGCCGCCGAAGGAAATATTCCGAGGGAGAAAGAAGTGGCGCGGTGGGGCAGGCACGACGAAAAAGACACGAAATGTGTGACGATTCCAGTGGGGTGCCTCGAAGAGTTGTGTGAGCTTGTAGTGGCAAAGGAGCAACGAGAAGCGGTGGGGAAAGGGTCCGTCACGCGGGTGGAGGCCGGGCAGGGGGCTGGAAGACTTAGGTGCATTAGGGGGAGGGAGGAACCGCTTTCGGCTCGCGCGCGCTGAGGAGGAGGCCTCTCCAGATTGTTATGTATGCAAGCTGGCCCTCTCGCCGGGCGCCGGCTCACCCAGCTCGCTCGCTTCGAAATAATTAGGAATTTTCACCTCGCCGCCGCCCAAGTGCGAAGCCCTCGTGGGCGGGGCCCGCCCCCGCCCCGCCCCGCCCGCACCACGCCCGCGCCCCCGCTTCTCGCAGCCGCTTCGCCGCCGGGGTTCCGTTTTCGCGTGAATAATACATTGCGGGCCGCTCCTTTTCCTTCTCTTAGGGTCCGTTTTGCTAGATCAAATGGAGGAATTCACTTTTCCGTGTTTTGCAGCTTAGACATCCTCCTGAGGCATTGCATTCATAATCAATCAGTAACGACATTTTCAATTAATGCAACTACAGCAAAAGAGAACAGTTGCTAGAAAACAGATTTTATTTCACTAATAATTATACTGAGTAATATTAAATTTAATGACAATTATTATCGAGTGATACAATTGACCATTATTTGATAACTGCTTTACATAATGTGTAATACTTTTGTATTATCTATATGCAATACAATAGGTTTACTTTTTACAATACTCCGCAAGATCATTGTAGATATTGCCCGAGTTTGAGCGGAGTTTCAATTAGTTACTCGCGGATTGTCTGGTTACAGGCTCATTCTGTTTCGTACTACTACCGCTTCTATCCCTCCCATTCATTCTCCAATTCACCCAAGGACATTTTTAATGAATAGATAGTTAATTACTATTTATCCTGTGGTATCTTTATGAACGGAGTTTTCTTCAAGTCTTCCCATTTGTTGTTGCCGCTGGCGATGTTTGCAGTGTTTGTTGGTCGAATTATCTTTCATTTTTCGTACGTGCTCATCTCTTAATCCTCGTCAGCGTCTCGAGCCGTTCTGCAAATTAAGAGCTATGCTGGATGCGTACAAACGTCGTTCGGTCCTGCGCGTTGGTCGTAATCGGTTTACATAGGGTATCCCAAATCTGTCCTTTGATAGATCCTAAGATGTCGGATTTTAAGTCTCTAAAATATCCTATTTACGCCATGTAAAATAAGGGGAATATTTTCTTAAATAAATGGTTAAAATTGACTTGAAAATAGCTTTTTTAATATATTTTATTTCACTATAACAGCTTTTTACACGTGTGTAAACAATATATTAAACGGGAACCAGAAATATACATTTTTTATTTCAAAAGTTATAATATTTTAATATTAGAACAATGGAGAGGCAACTAAGGTGACTAAATTTATTTAACATCGTCTTGATATTGAATCCAATTTTTTTCCAAGAAACACTTTCCTGTTCATTTTCCACGGTTTCAATTTCACGAAAAAGGGATTCTTTCCTTTTAATGAACGATATGTCTTTTTCCATTTTCAGACTCTAATGGCGAAAAGGTAATGAGCAAAAAGGGAACACAATAGATGTACATCCTTAATATTGATTATACATAAAATGTGTTTGTAATTAATTGCGATAAAAAAAAAGAATTTTTTCTAGAACGTGAATTTTAGCCTTGACTGCAACCACTTACAAATTGTACAACGAAACGTCACGGTATCGGTCATATTAACATCTCCGAAAAAGAAAACAAGAGATACTAAATACCAAAGTCTGTATTCATCTGAGTCTTTTAAAATGTCTGACGAACGATCCCGCTGTGCTTCGTAAGTTAGGTAAATACAAGTAAGTTAAATAAGTTAGGGAAAACTGAAACCAATGTTTCGGTTTTTGTCACTTTTCATTTGAAACGTTTCTATTTTCCCACCAATTGCTCCCGTGTAAGTTCACTGATTTGTGATGTCTCTGATGGATACTGGGGAGAGAGGGCTCAGAATTACATCTTACCTCACGTTATCGCCAAAGTAGCAGCGCGGTAGTGAACCGGACAAGACTTTTGTGGCTTCGAATTTCTCTGGGTATGGTAGGAACGTCTATCCACCATGTATCACGTTTCTGTTCTCATCAATCTTTCCTTACTTGTACCAGAGACATAGGAGTTTGGTGTTTGAGACATGTATGGGCCAAGGGTTCCATCAGAACGTAGAATATAAGAACTTGGCAAGTACCACGGTGGCCGCATCTGGATAGTGGTTCAGCGCCTATGATGGCCATGATGGCTAGCCCCAGGAAGTGGGAAGAATCATCGTAGCAGACCATCGTAGTAGAGGTACCCTTGAGAACAGTACAGGTTGATACGTATGTAGGCAATCATAGAACAAACTACGGTTAGTGAAGATAACGTAAACTAGAGACGCTACAACATCATAAACTTTCTCCAATTACTTGAACGGTTACTTTGAATTTAACAGCAGATGTAGCATTTTGATTTAAAAAAATGAATTTTCAAACAAATAATATTTGTAGTTTTCAAAAATTGGAAGAAGAATTAGTAAAATACAAGTATCAATGTATAATAATAATTTCGAATATGCTCGTAAAACAAAAGAAAACTAAGCAGTCGCTAGTCATATGAAAGGTGTCTGTCATATCATTAGATACCCAACAACTCCTGAAAAATACAGAAACAATGAAACAGTTTCGATTTGCCAATATTTGATTATATCAACCCACAATTTCTCTTACTTCATGTTACAAACTATATTCTCATATTCAGTGCATCACTGCTTACGATACAGCCATATTTATGCGACGAGGAAGAAAGAAACATTAGTATTCACGTGTGTCGTTTCAGAACAGCCCTTGTTACCTACTCCACAGCCCCATTTTCCACAAATGTGTGGCAACTGAATTTTTGCTTCTTCAGGTCATTGGTATTGTAATATTTTGTAACTGTTACAAATAATACAAGAAAGTATGTACTGTTTAATCACCGCTAATTTATTTCTACAGAGTGATTGATTGCCATGTCGTGTTTCAGTTTTTCACATTGACTGATGTGACTGCAAAAGAATGTTCATTCAGGGAGGACGATAAGTAATTTCAGTTTGATGTGAAACTGAGAAACTGCGCTCACAGATTCAACACCGTTTCTTCTTTACATAGTTTATGAATTTATTATTTTTGTGTGGTTATATACTAGTCACACATTATATTTTTGATTAATTAACTTTTTGCATGAAGTTTAGTTTTAAACCAGATTACGATAAAGTAAAAAACTTTGCTCTTGTGTATTTTCCTAAAAAAACTCTTTACCTTGCGCCCTTGCATTAAATCTGATTGCTTAGATTTCTTCAGACCCTAATCATTTTTCGTGGCGTTTTTAATTGCAGGAATATATTTCAAACTCTGTACAAGTTGACATTCGCATCTCAAAACTGTCAATTTCTTCTTTCATCGCTTCTCCTCCTCCTTCACATATATTATAGTCCCATATATTATAGTTCCTTCAGTTTTAATAATAGCACGTTGTGTGTTAAAAATTCTGATATTCTATTAGCTTTCAGTCAAGTATTCCTGATTGATATACGTCTTTGAGTTTGTACCAAAATGAATGTAAAAATATAAATTCAGCAAAGACCAGAGATAATAAAATTGTATTTGTTGTAACTGCAGCGCGTAAACAGCACGGTATGTTATTGATTTACTCCATTGCTCACACGCAAGGCAAGGCGTAACGTGACGTTTGTGGGTTGTGTCGCCCGCAGAGGAGTCGGAGGAGGAGGAGGACATCGACCCGACGGGCGAGGCGGGGCTCGGGCCTGAGCCGGGGCCTGGGCCTGGGCCGGGGCCTGGGCCGGGGCCTGGGCCGGGGGCGCTGCCGGGCGAGGACGCGGGCGAGGCTGCTCCGCCGCCGAGGCGCGACTCGCCGCGCCGCCGCCGCGCGGCCCACGCGCGCTTGTGCACGCCGCCGCCGCGCCGCCGCCTCCGCGCCGCGCGCCGCCCCGCCGCCGCCGGGGGCAAGGGCCGCAAGCCCCGCCGCCGCCGCACCGCCTTCACGCACGCGCAGCTCGCCTACCTGGAGCGCAAGTTCCGCTGCCAGAAGTACCTGTCCGTGGCGGACCGCAGCGACGTGGCCGATGCGCTCAACCTGTCGGAGACGCAGGTGAAGACGTGGTACCAGAACAGGAGGTGAGAGCCCTCGTCACTGCTCTTGCTTTTGAAATTGCTGATTTATATCCTCCTAGCAATGAGGATGATTTATCCTCTGCTTCTGACTTTCGGCATTCAGAAAGCATTGACGATTGGGGCTAAACACATGTGCATAACCCCAACGTACTTGTATTAAATTCTATACGTGCAATTTTTTATGGAGTAATGGCACTGTGAATCAGCTACACAAATGATACATGATACTACGCGCTTTTTGTCTACGTTGACATTTGTCTTGGACGTCTTACCAAACTATTTTTGCGGATAACTTTTACACAACAACAAAAATAGATGTGGGTAGTATCGCCTTTACCTTCTTTGCATGTAAACGCCTTTCATTCTTCACTAGACATAATGCAGAGGAGAGGGAAAGTATATTTGCATTGATTTTGTTTTGGCGAATCTTACAATGAGCTGCAGACGCCCTAGACTCAGAACACATCGGCGAAACCGGCGGCACGGTCGCGCTTCAGCTCATTTCCTAGACAGGTTCTCTTTGGTAAGAACTAGTCTAAGCGATCGAACCCTTTCCCCGACGAAAGCGACCACACTTAGCAGCGAATGATAGTCTATTCGCCTAATGATTTCTTTTTCTTATATAACAAAATAAAATGATATTTTTGCAGACAAAGTGTTGCCAGATATATTGCGAGATCCTCTAAGAGAGTTTTTATAAGCCGTGTTCATGCCAAAATACTAAAACTATTGCAATAAAGAAAAAGCAAATTCTGTGAACATCATTCCCACTTCCCTCTCATCGGTCTGTCTATATCATCGTATTATGAAACTCTGGTGTATTTACTAAAAGTTTAAGTAATTAAAAACGATGTTTCGTGATGTGGAGGGGCATTTATTAAAAAAAAGAGAAATGTACTTACAGAGATATATGGATCATTCCATTTGCACACGCACACAAACACACACAAAAAGTTGTCGGACCCAAAGACTTGAAAAATATTTATCTATTAATTTCGACGCGCTTAATTCGTATCAGGTGTCCAAATTACGCCACCAACTTCCATTTTTTTATATTCCAAAATCGTCGTGAAATTGAATTTTTTTGTTTTGGGAATTGTTGTTTTCTACGTATGTCGATGCGCTAAATATTAATCTGAAGCCAGAATTGTGCCACCACTTTCCGAAACCTTGAAAAGTGAGCACACTATCCAACGAGCCACCGAGGGCTAATAGTGATTGTAATGTTCTATAATTTGTATCATCATCCGTCATTTCATTAGTCTTCGAGAATAATCGAACAACATGAAACAAAACTTTTGGATTTTATATGTCCCTTTTAGTGAATTTGATGAACTACTGAAACTTTTCCACAGTTCTTCCTTTTGTTCGATGTGATTCCGTTAATTCGAATTTATTTTCTAATTTGTCCTGCACCTCCAATATTTAAGCCAGACATTTCTTTTTCAGTGTAATTTATTCCTCATTTGATTACCGTTAAGCAGAACATGACCAATCCACAAATATGTAAAAATTAAGCAATGGTTCTCTCTAGAAAGCTGAGCACCATTCCTTTGATTTCTATAATGCATCCAAGTGATCTTTCCATTGCTAATGGTAAGATGTATGTGGCAAGGTGCTAATGGTAGATATTATTGATTAAATTGTGAATAAAAAACGGATTTTCATGTAAATATTATTTTTACAGGGACAAGATATCTGCATTCAATAATACGTTTTAGAGTTATCAAAACATTATGAATGAATTAGAACCAGTTTTATTTTACTTTTTTTTACATAGTTTACCTAAATATTTCGTTACATTTTAATATATTTATACGTTGAAACAGAACATTCAGTTCCGATATACAATATCTGTTTCAGGAATCATCTTTCTTACAAAGCAATGAAATGCGCTTTCATAAAAGACTGACCTTCGATATTAATATTGTCAAACTTACTATACATATAGACTTTTTATTACAATAAATTGTGTTCCCTAATTATAAAACATTAACGTGAATTGGGTGCAAATGTACGAGTACATCCCACACATATATAATTTTCATCATGCTTTTTTGTTTTTCGAAATTTTAGGATATGTTCCAACTTCCCGAACAATTTTCCAACCGTATTGACTCTTGTGACTTGAATGTTTCCTGAATAGCTTCATACAATTGTAGATATTTGCCGGTCCGGATCATTAAAGTGCTAGTGCCCTAGTAATTTCGAACCGAAGGATCGCGGTTTCGAGTCCCGCCACGGGCATCGGTGTATTTGTGTTCGTCCTTTCATCCCCTATCATCACCATAGCAAGTCATCTTCACAGTTACCATAACGTTAAATGCTTTACTGGTCGCTAATGATCTAGATTTTGATGTGACCTTAAATAACAAAAAGCAGTGATGTCATGCACCTTTTTGGAAATTCTGAGTCATTATTGAGAAATGAAACTGAAAGAAGGGAAGGTTTCGGTATGCCGCGCGTTCCAACGAGTGTGTAGAGAAGGATAGCTTGGTTGTGGGAACAGCATTCAGAATTCATTTTAGAACTCGTACACTGAAGTGTTTCATCGCTGTGTTAAAATGAAATTTGTAATCATCCGTTTTCAATAGTTTTGTCAGCTTTAACCACTAGCTATGAAGAAGTATTACATCCCGCTTCGGGAAACATTGTACATCTAAACATTGCTTTTTCTATAAATTCCCGGCATACATTAATTTAGTAAATTAACACTCGTAATATATTCACTTTGGTGTAATGCTTTCGGTTAATACTAATGGTTTCAATTTAATACTTGTTTAAAATAAAATCCATGTAAATATCATTGATCAATTGTGAAAGAAACATAAGGTCAAAATAGGATTGTTTACGCGTGTATTTTACGTTATTATTCTTTTATTTTTGTATAACAACAGAAGGCATGAATTCAGAATTTTGACAGATCACGAGTACGTGTGTACTATTGGAAATATTTAATCTGTTTGGCAGTCGTGTTATTCAAACTATAAATAATTCAGACAATTTACAAAGGGACCAGAATGATTTCAATACGATACCAGAACGACTTTAATTTAATTTCACATATCTTGAAATGATTGATTGTGCTTTCTTGCAAATTGCACCCTTAAGATTCTTCTCAAAAGCACGTATAGGAAGCATAATACATCCGGAATAGTATGAAATAATCTCATTTTTCAGGTGCGTTAATGACAAATACCCTCAGCAAAAAGAAATAAATGAATGTAGTTATTTATTCTGGATGTTTGCCTGTTTGATGATGCGATACTCAACATGCATTTAATAGTTATGTGGCGAGTGGTCATCGACAGATGCGGCTATGACAAGGCAAAATAATCGAAATATTACATTTTAAGTGTTTTAGACACGAAATGTACAATTATTCAAATTGCACACAAGATAACTTTCATTGAATTAATAAAAAACACCAGATATATCTATTTAAAAAACGAGATTGATGCAAAGGAATCTCTAAGCTGAGCAAATTGAGAGAGCACGATCTCTCTCCTTGAATCAATCTACTCTGCAGTTCGAAATCAGTTGCTCGGCGATAAAGCTCAACTAGTGAGCGCTCCAAACGAATACTTGGGTTCGTGGTGTTCTCGACAGTTGTCGGTCATGTCATACAAAATGTGCCGTAAGAGCTTAAATGAAGAGAACCGCAGAAACGTTCTTGTGTGATGTCGTATGGCTATTGGTGGTAGGATATTGATCTCAGCGTTCTTAGAACTGCTTATGACTTCGTCACATTTGCTAGCATTATTAAGAAGGTGTTTTGAACTCATGCTTTCGTATAAATGACCATCTTAACAACATCCTAAGCCTATACAAAGCAATGCTATGGGACTCCAATCCATTTAGGACATTAAAATTAAATTATTATTAATTACATTTACAACAATTTTTATTTCATTCAAAAATTCCACTAGGGCCTTTCCTACACAGCACAGTAGTTCTGAGAGCAAATCTTCACATCATTCCGGGAACGACAAATCTCAGAGCAACCAGTGATTTGACTACCCTTGAAGAGTTAAAATTTGTTGAAAAAACACGAGAAAAATCTGAAATAGTAGTTAAAAAGTATCGCAGAGTAATTTGGAGGGTGAACACTAACTGGGGTGTCCCAAGGCATAAGGGATATTTTTCGCGAAATCAGACATGCATAACTTCTATATTTTTTTCTGTTTCACCTCAAAAACTCAAATAATAAATATTCTTGTTTTTGTATAAAGAAAACTCGTGCCAACGTGATGCCAAACATTAAATTTGAACGATTATTCTACTTGTTACTAAGGAAAGATTCTATAACTCAATGTTTATTTAGTAATTAATGCACGAACATGTCCAAATCATATCTATTTAGTATTTAGATAATATTATTTGGTAAATTTTCTTTTCAAAGTTTGATTTTTACAATCAGGATAAATCTTCTGATGATCTTGTGCGCAACGTTATAAAAATTGCCTCTGTTTCTTATTAACCGCAATTAAACTGCAATGTCTTGCTTCAACTTGACCGCTCTTTCAGCTGAATCATTAACTGATCTAAGTGTTGAAACCTTCTTTCTAGCTTCTTAAAACGAAGCATTATTTGACCAGAAAGTGGGACCATCATAGCGAAAACTCTCATTAATTTTAAGACGTCCAAACAATAAATTGCGTTTGACAGAAATGAAATCATGTTTTTCTCGTATAAAGGATCACAAAGTTTTTTCTGCGTTGGGATGTACTATTTACCATAGTTTGATACATTTTCATTGGTTAAATTTACGACCACTTTTGCTTTGGTTTCTTGGTTCACATCATCGTCAAATAGTGACAAGAAAGATACTTCGTGAGTTAAATACCATAAATGCTGGGGTAACTTATACTAAGCTGCCTTCAAGACGCTTTTATAAACCTTATCATAAGCCTGTATTGACTTCAAAATACACACCTATTGGTAAGTTGTTTTTACTGCCAAAATAAATTGTATTCATAGCTTGACGTGTCGCCATGAACAGTAAGACATCAAATAGTGGTACCTTTTCCTCAACCCGTAATTTTCAACTGGGCACTACAGAATGACATTTCAATTTTTTTAAAGGAATAAATCGCTCTCGCAATCCATTGAGCATGATGCATGGAACCTGGAGGTCGAATTCTAAGTTGTCTCTCTATCTCGCCCTATAAATGTAATTATAAAGCTACCAACTTTCGATAGTAGTCTCTGACTATTTCTTTTGTCAGTTCAGGTGGGTAAATCGCAAACATATTGCCAATTTTGGAAACAGTCATACGTGATATGAGCTTTCCTCTATAGCACTGTATCTTATCAGGATCGACACTTTTCCAGTTATCTCGGACGTTCTTGAAGAGTAGACTATCAGGGCCTCTTGTCACCTTGACGGGATTTCACTTCAAACACACTTTTTAACACCAATTCATATACATGACGATGAAAACAAAAATTAACATTTCTCTATTAAGTTTTTGTCCTAGAAGCATGCAGGAACCATTGTTACGACCGGTTTTTGAAGCTGTAGTATCACAAAAAAGAATTTGCATTTTATTTTCCAGGTTTCAGTATACAATTGCGTTCCAAACAGCTTGCGCACGTTCGCTTTCTGAAGAGCTTTTCAACCTTGGTGTAGCAATACGTTGTTCTATATTTTCATATGAAATAACGATCGGAAGACGTTCTTCTACTGATTTCTGAGCATCTAAAGCAGGCAACAGTTTTCAATCACAGTGAACAGTCATAATGTCTGTTACCTCGTTTTGAAAATCAACATTTGTGGCATCAGCACGGTCTTTACGTTTATACCTACGATTTTTTATTCATTGCGTACTTATTGAAAATTCATCAGTATTACATCCAAGAAAATACACGTAATCTTTCGTACTTAGCTACTTAGCTGACTCCTAATTTTACCACTCCTAATTTTACTGCTACTAATTTTGGAGTAATGAAATTTTTCCTCTTGAATATTTTTCTAGTTGCTAATCGTGTGTTATCATTCAGCGTAGGCAAATCCGCTTGATAATACACATTTGCATTAAAATTAGAATATGACTCGTTTTTAACGGTTCATAAGGTGGTGTCAAAGCAGTTGGCGCGGAGAAATATTTAGCTCGCCGCTTTTCTTCCGTAATAGTTTCATGCCGTGGCACGCAGTGGGTGGGGCGAGCACCATTCGTCACACAAACTCGTCCACAGTTCTTGGAGTTGAGTGATCGGTTGCTCGCTACTCGCCGAATAACGAATGTGCGAAGGACCCCCAATTCGCCCAGTACGAGTGATGTCAATTGGCGTGTACCTGAAGGCGTGGTGCTGCTGCTTGCAGGACGAAGTGGAAGCGGCAGAACCAGCTGCGCCTGGAGCAGCTGCGGCAGCAGGCGTCCGTGGAGAAGGAGCTGCTGGGGCGCGCGCACGCGGCCCACGCCGCCCACGCGGCACACGCGGCGGCGCGCGCGCGCGGGCGCGGCTGCGGGGCGGGCCGCCGGGCCAGACGCGCCGCGCGTGCTGCTCGCCCTTCGCCGCGCCGCCCCGCCCCCCGGCGCCCGCCCGCCGCCGCGGCCGGCGCCGCCGCCTCCGCCTGCTCCTTCCTCAGCAACCGCCGCCGCCATCTTCCGCAACGTCACCTACTGCACGGCTGCCAGCTGTAGCTGTCGCCGCCGCCACGCGCCGCCCAGCGCCAGTGTCTGGGCGCCCCGGCCGCTGGGCGGGGTGGCGGTGGCTGGGGCGGTCCGACGCTCGTGCTGCGCTGCACGCCGCCCTGAGTGCACAGCGAGTGCGGGGGTTGGTCGTCCCGTGAGGAGCGAAATGCCTTTGAGTGCTAGAGAAATTCCCTTCTCGTCGCCCACTTCGCCCGACCTTCGCAGTTACAAACAAGGATTTGCAGGCGTTGATGAATAAGGTAATCAATAAGTAATTGGACACACCGGAGTGATATCCACTGCAGACGTTCCTGACTCCGAACATTCCTTTATTCTACCGACGGGGAATCCAGGAGGCTCTTGGTCATCCTCGAGTGGGTCTCCTCGCTATTCCATTTCGCGTAACTCGCTCCTCTTCTCTTTTCTGCGCCTGCGCAGAAAAAATGGCAGTCACTTAATGGCAGTCATCCTTGCAATCACCCGCGGCCCGAATACTCGACACCGAAAGCAAGAACTTCCTTGGCGGTACGCTGTTGTATTCTGCAGAAGTTACCTAAAAGACTCATAATGTGAACATTCAGAAAGTCCATTACGTCACCAGCGAGTTAACGACGTTGCGACTTGTTTTTTAATGCATCGAAGCATTGATTGTCCAATCAAATCTAACGAAACTGGTATAGCTGCCTAATATCTCCAAGATAAAGGAATCTTTGTTGTTGTTTTTTGTTTTGTTTTTTGCTGTTTACAATTTGTTTAAAAGTTCAATGTACACACAATTTATTTATTTAACGTTTAAAACAGTTAAATATTGTCGTCTTTCCCGGCAGCAACAAAATTATTATTATTATTATTATTATTATTATTATTATTATTATTATTATTATTATTATTATTACGGCGATGGAGCTGGTGACGTGTACGGAAAGGGAGGCCTTACTGATAATATTTTGAGACGCCTGAATTTTGTCAAAACCATTGAATTTCATACTTATGTTGATGCATAATATCTCCTAATTTCTACAATAAGAAATTTTGCAGTGCGTAAAAATGTTGCCAATTATGTGCCAATCACTTAATTTCTGTATATCTCCGTTCGTTGATGTACAAAATATAAAAGGTGCAATCAATTTATAATTTTATTTAGTGCTCCTATTTCTAGCTTTAAATTAATTTCAAAACATAAAAGAATATGTACGTATTGATTGGTTTTTACAATTCTAAATCGATGTGTACGACCGAAACGAGTTTCAGCCACAAACCAAAGAAAATCAGTATATTCAGAAGAGCACGTTGTTAAGCTAATGAAAATAAGCGGTTGGCGGCTATTGTCCAAAGCCCCAATTTTCAGATTATGTAATAATTTTTTATAAAATGTGTACAGTGGTGCTGATATCTACTAATTAACAAAATGGCATTCGCAGACATTGAAGAGGTCACATTCATCACTTTTTATTTTAAATTGTCTTCACCTTAAGATTATATTCATCTAATGTAAAAAGAATGTTTCATATACCATAATACATTCCCTAATAATGTTAATTTTTAAAAGATTTTTGTAAAATGAAATGTAAGGCAAGAACACATCATGTAATGCAAAAACATTTTAGCAAAATTTTCTGAAGTGTGGAGGAAAGGAATTCCCTGACTGCGGCGACTAACAATTCTTCTAAACAGAGACCGTAGCGATTTAAGTGTAGTTATATAGTTCTTGGATGCATTTTTATTGTACAAAGTAATTATAATGTTCTCGAACGGAAAGCAAATTATGAAATCTGGGCACAATAAGTTCAAAAACTCGTAATTAGAGCTAAGATAATTCGCATCAGCAGCAGATGTAAATTTCACAGGCACACACAGAAGAATCATTAAACAGATATCTTTCTGTATGAAGATCAGTGAATGTTTCGCTTTCGCTCTTTATTTAAAAATTCTAGTCTAACATACTCGTACGTCTATTTCTTAAAGAAATGCGTGACGTCATATTATTATTACAAATATGCTAAACGACAAGAACTTCATGGATGTTTTAAGCAACTCTTCTTGGTTAAATGCGTTGTGCGAGATAATAAAATAGAATTTTTGTTATTGCGTTAATAGTAAACCGAATGTAATTAATAATTTTATAGATACTTTTTGTACTCATACAATTTAACCTAATATAATTTTTAGGCGTTCCATTTTACATTAAACTGATGTTCCTGAATTCATAGTAAACCAAAGAAGTTCTAAATGTGTTTGCTTGCATATGTACTATAAGATTCATTTTTTCCCTTTCCCCTTTACCAAATCGAAAAATGAAACTGCTCATTTGATATTTCCTGAAAATTTAGTAAAAATGTTGCTGATTATTTGTGAATACCATGAAAACTCTATGGTCCATCCTTTTCTTTTAAAGCGCTTGTCGTTAAACTGTAAATTGTATGATATGTAAAGAACAAATAGGATATCTATATGTATTTTAAAATGTAACATTTGTAGCCTGTCACATTTATATCCAAAGACCCTATCAAAACACTTTATTTTAACGAAATATCCCAATATTTTGTATGTTTTCTTATTTAAACTATTAAAAATGTTTATTATTCAATTGACAAACTCATTGTTTTCGTTTAAATGCAGGTTCCATCTTCAAAGGCTCGAATAAAATGAGTCGGCAATTAAAGATTTATTGGACATGGTACAAGGTAAAAAAGTAATAAAATATTTGAATGATTTATATGGCTCCGAATAGATATTGCAAAATGTAAGTCTGCAGCGACTGTACTTTTAACTGAGAATTTTAGACTGAAAATGGGTCTTTAATTTCGGAAGGTCACAACCTGAACAAAAATCAAGGTATAGAAGTTGTAAAGCATATATTCCATAAATTTAAATATATTTCACTGTTACAATTGAAAAATATTTGCAATTCACATTGGCACTCTTCAAACAAAAAACTTTTCAAACACGTTATAGTTTCTACTAACGTGTCTTGGTCAATTGTTAGGATAATGCCATATTTTGAACGGAAATATATCACTGTTAGGTTAAATGCTTAGCTTCTCTTCCTCCTCATCTCATAAAGTCATGGATCACTACGCAAAATTCGAACGGCTGACCAAACAATGAAGTTTAGTTTTGACTGTTTCAGAACTCTTATTTTTTTTGTGAACAGTTATTTTCAAAACGTGCCAGAGTGTTAATTTTCAGGAGTAGGAGAGGAAATACAGTAAACATAATATAGTTTTTCATTTCTTAATACCCCAATTGTCGTGACGTCACTATTTTTTTCGGTTCCAGTACGAAGTTCACGGAAAGTACGCATTATTATGTGTCAGGACATTCGTTGTCCGAAGTGTATGTCTCACTACATTTTAATATGGCTTCAGTGGTTGCTCAGGGCATCAACTGATATAACTGGAGTGCCTTTGACCGGGCTATTCTAGGATTCGAATCCCAACGATGGTAGGATTTTCGATTCTAGCTACATAGCGGGATCTAATTCAGCCGCAACCTGGATAAGAATTCAAACGGACGGTTGCTGTGATCGCTAGTTTTCCGTGGCTTCTTTGATCAACACCAGTACCCTACGAAACGGGCGCGGACCGCGCGCGATCTTTCCTTCCAATTCCCTCTCCTATCCTCACGCTATCCTTGGGCAAGCTTAGGGCTTGTTCCGGCTGGGGTGGTGCCCCGCTGGTGCGGGAAACCTGGACGGGTAAAACAAGCAAGCCGGCGCGGCGTTTAGGTGCCGGACCTCACCAAACAGCGAGGAAGTACACCGCCACATCTCATGATAAGAACAAGTACTACACTTACGAACTTTAGCAGTTGACGCTCTCGGAAACACGAAGTACGAGTAATAGGTAATCAATCAACCAATCAGTGTGATTTGTCCTCAGTGAGCGATCACAGGAGCAACGCCAATAACTTCTCAGCTGATCATTTCCAAGCACTACAAATCAAGTCTAACAAACATGCATTCTTGCAAAATGAGCAGTAGTATAACTCGTGGGTTTGTGAATTGTTAAAGAATAAATGCTTCAGTACCTCAAATGTTCTAAGATATTACGCCGCAAGCGAATAAAATAAAAATAATTATTAAGAATTCTTAACATCGGGACTTGCGACACTAGAGTTTAAAGAGCAGACTGGCTAAGTATTGTCACTTACTTATATTTGTCATTTATCACCTTTGAGATTCACAAGACATGGCAATAAGCTAATTTAATCAATATACGAATTCTACACGACAGATGATAAACTAAGTAACTACCTCAGAGCTCTCGCCGGAGTAGGCAGCCTCCTCTGAATTCTAATTACAACCAGACATGTAGACATAGTATGTAAGCAAATTGCGCAATAGTTCAACTTTCTTTGTGTTGCGCAAATGAAGACGATATCTCTTGTGAGTATGGACTTTTCAGATTGAAATAAAATGAAATTTCATTATTCTCTCTTAGATAACTAAGAGAGAAAAATTTAGTTTTTTAGATATTAAGAAATATTTGACAATACTTATTTGTCCTGCGTGGGCTCTGTGAGTCACACATGACCAAACAAAGGATCCCCAGCAGGCGAGAAATAATTTTTGAAAAAGAAGAAAATGGGGGGGCAAAATTTTTTTTGATAAATTTTTTTTTGCCTTATTTTACGTGGCGAGCTCGGCCATCAGGCCCGCTCTTCCGTCTGACCAGCAAATTTCGCTACGCTCCTTTCACCAACTAGGAGAGAAAGGAGGTATTTCTTGGCGAGAAAACAGGCGATTTGAATTTAGCTCAGAGGCGTCATTTTAGGCTTGAGGATCTTTTACATGCAAGTAAATCTACGAACATGGGACAGCCGCTTTACTTCCCCTCCGAAGGAAGGCGTACGAAGGATTTTTTCGCCCTTAAAAATCCACGGCTTCGATCGGGTTTGAACCCGCAACTTGGTACAACAGTCCAGTACGCTAACCGTTACACCTCGCGCCTTACACCATCGCCGCCTTACACCATCGCCGCCCGTATTTCACTGAACAATTCTAAGTA